GTTAGTCCCTGGCTGTGATTGGCTGAGCCGGAGAGGCGAGAAGGCCGTTCTTTACTTATATTTTACTCTCCTTTCTTCTCTTTGTTTGAACGAAGGGAAGGGTTAGGGTTACGGTTCATTGTTTAGTATTTAGAAGACTTCTGATGCCAAAAAATATGAATTATGCTAGATTTTCGCTCAGTCATCTACATATGATATCGACAGACAAAGATATAAATCAATTAACTAAAAAAAAAGCTGTGTTTTTATTTTTCAAAAACACTCACAATTCAACTAATTCAACACTTATCAAACCAAAGACAATTCAGCACACAAAATATCTGAAGAGATGCAGAAACTAATCAGTCTGGGTTCAAACTGTCCCAAACGTTATCTAAAACTGGAAGAAAAGTGATTAACCATCATTTTCCTGGAAGAAATGTCAGTGTTCTTGGATTACATTCATTAAGGGTGTTTTATTTTTAAAAGAACTTGGGGCTGTTTAACCATGAAAAGAACTGAAGGATCGGGCCTGAAAGCTGTTCAGCCCCCGATCCTGCCCCAAAGCTATCGGACTCTAATCATCTTCATCATCACTAGTTAGTTAGTTAGATAGCTAGTTAGTTAACTGGTTAGTTGGTCAGTTAAGTGGTTACTTAGCTAGCTTGTTGTTTGCTTGTTAGTTAGTTGGCTGGTTGGTTGTTGGTTAGTTAGCTAGCTATTTGTTTGCTGGTTAGCTAGCTAGCTGGTAGTTTGCTTGTTTGTTTGTTAGTTAGTTGGCTGGTTAGTTAGTTAGCTAGCTAGCTCGTTGGTTGGTTACATAGCAAGTTGTTTGCTGGTTTGTTAGCTAGTTGTTAGTTAGCTGGTTGGTTGTTGGTTCATTAGCTAGTTAGTTGTTAGTCAGCTTGTTAGTTAGCTGTTGTCTGGTTGATAAGGTAGTTAGTTTGTTCGTTAGTAATGTTACTCCAATATTGAAGTAATTTTCTAAGCTGAAATGTTGAATGACATGAAAAGGCAAGAAGAGACTGAATACAATTATTCTGTAAGTTGTTCTTTTTTTCACATAGTGAGCTCAGGTTTGCCTGAATAAAAGATTTAGATCTGACTAATCAATAGCCTACATTCCTGCAAAAAGGTCTGATGTTGCAGGGGCAGGTCATGAAACGTGGAACAGGCTCTTGTTCTGATGCCAGTTAGTTTCAGCCTTTATCCAGTCTCCTGTACAGGGGCTGGTCGTGTCACAGGTTATTTGCATTAAAACAGGGACAGTTAGCGAGGTAGAGTGAATACACAAACCTGGAAGAGGGGAGGGTGGGGGGGCTTGCAGGAAAACTGAAATTCGATGGGACTTCCAGTGTTAAACGACCTTTTTATTCTTTATAATTCAAAGACTTCTGATTCGCTCATTCGTCTACATATGATATCGACTGACAAACAGCTAAATGATTTTACTCCAAAAAATACAAATCTATGTTTTTATCTTTCAAAAACATTCACAATCAACTAATTCATTCCTTATCAAACCAAAGACAATTCAAGCAGACGAAATATCTGAAGAGACGCAGAAACTAATCAGTCTGGTTTCAAACTGTCCCAAACGTTATCTAAAACTGGAAGGAAAGTGATGAACCGTCATTTTCCTGGAAAAAAACCTGAATGAATGTAATCAAAGATCACTGAAATGTTTTATCTTAGAAATCAGAATATCAACAGGAGAACCTAGGCCTGTTTCACCGTGAAGGACTGAAGGATTGGGCCTGAAAAGCTGTTCAGCCGGAGGAAAACCACTGATCTATGAGGCCGCCGGCTTTGAGACGAGGTCAGAGTCTCATCATCATCATCATCATCATCATCATCATCATCATCATCATCATCATCATCATCATCATCATCATCATCACAAGATCTGGGTGAGTTAGTAAGTTATTTATTTATTTATTTATTTATTTATTAGTTAGTTAGTTAGTTAGTTGGTTAGTTAGTTCTTACTTGGTTATTATGAATGTTTTAATATAAAATATTTTACCGTTTAAATACAGTGTGAGTGTAAACAAAGCTACCAGATTCCACCCAAACAATCGAGCGTGGGATCATTTTTGAGCCAGGCTTTATGTTGGAATCTTTATATTCATTCTTCTTTATGTACTTCAGTTTCAGACGGATGCTTTTGGCTCTCAGACAGTTAGGTTGAAAACTAAATACCCATTGACCTAAAAGTTTGAAATAATTATATTTTCAATGCACACTAAGCTGAGAGTTTTATCTAAAGAAATACTAAATACAAAATCTTTTAATCCACGTACTTGCTGATTATCATAAGTATGTGAACTAAGGACATTCTAAACATCTAAAAATGTTTTTATCTACTTTTATCTACTAAAACATACTCAGTTGGACTCACTGTTTATTTGGACTTTGGGCTCCTGGAGGAGGGTCAGGGTTAAAACCTGGACCCAGACCCTTTGACCTAAATGGGCCAAATGTTTTTGCTTTTCAACCAGAATTCTGAATTATTTTCATTGATTTTCAGAGTCAGGATACTGAAAACAACTTGTTCTTTAAATAACTTGTTAATAAAGAAAAGAAAACGTTTCTAGAGTGGAGAAGCGCTTGTTTCCGGGTCGTCACCTCCCGGTGTGTCAGAAAAGGCGGATCCGCTGGAAAGGAAGCGCTCGTTTGCTTCTCCATACTGTGTGCGGAAGTGCGCATGCGCCACTCCTGTTCCTCTTTTCTTTGCGATTAGTGTCGTCATGTGAACGGAAACAGTCTGAAAGATTTCTAAATAAGAGCTCACACATTCTTTAAATGTTCAAAACAATTTTTTGTTAGTTAGTTAGTTGATTAGTTAGTTAGTTAGTTAGTTAGTTAGTTAGTCAGTCAGTTAGTTAGTTAGTTAGTTAGTTATGAATGGTCATCATGAATGTTTTTATATATCTAAAACCCTGTAAAAACAGGCCTGGTGTTTTGCCTGTATTTAAAGACCCTGGAGGGTGTAAAAGCTCCATCTTTGTGGCTCTACATAAAGCAGCTAACTGAATATATCTTTAAAAAAATATGTTTCATCACCTGTCTTTGTTTTGTTGTTTGGTTTTTCTATGCATTACTTATACCGATATTTATGTCATTTATGTGACCGTTCAAATCTTGTTATTTTCTGGTAGTTTTTTTAATCTTTTTTGTGGGTCTGTCTGTCTTATGTCTTTATTATGAAAATCAAATGATCTCTGTTGATCTTGGTCAACAGGGGACCAGCAACTCCGCTCTTATTGTGAAGGGCCCCGCCGGAAGTGGTGAGATTCCCGGATCCTGGATGATCTCACATCAAGGAGAGGAAATATCAGCCGCTAACGGAGAGGTCGGACTCAGCCCAACGAGCCTGTGAGCGGTGAGCGCGTGTCGGAACCGACCCACCCGGTCCGGTTCTGTCCGGTTCGGTTCGGACCCGGTCCGTGGACCTCCACCCGGGACGGGCTGGAATGGCCCGGCCGCGGAAGAAAAGCTCCGCCGGGTGTTCAGTGTGAGGCTCAGAGAGGGGGGGGGGCAGAAAGAGGAAGATTACAAACAGCAGAGGAGAAGAAGAAGAAGCAGAGGACTTTTAATAAAGCAGAGAAGAAGAAGATGGGCGGCAGAGTGGATCTGCTGGAGGTCTGCGGACTCCTGCTGCTGCTCAGCGGAAACTGTTACTGCAGAGGTGAGGG